TATCGTCATTGAACATTTTCATATTGTCATAGAATGTTTGAACGGATATTTTCAGACCAAAAGTATCAATATTATCCATGACAAATTTCATGATTGTAATTAGAAATGTCGAGATTTGATGCGATTTCATGTAGAGATCAATTTCATTCGTATTGTCTTGATGACGTAGAACGATTTGTAGCAATCGTGCTTGTATCATATGTAGACGATCGATGAATGTCGATATGAATGCATGGAATTTGGTTTGCGAATCTGATAAGAGCGATTTCAATTGATTTAAAACAGGATAATGAAATTGTTTCGCTTCGACAATTGCCAATGTTCGTGCTTTGGCAATCGGCTCTTTTGGTATACACATTTGTAGTGTGTCATCCAATTTTTTCTCCAATTTCGTTATGACCTGTCGTCCCAAATCGTCTCTTGTTTTGTTGACTAATTTGACCAATTGTCGAACATTATTATTATTATTATGCGTCGATGGTAACGCTTGATGGACAATCGATTTTGCCTGATCAATGATCGATAAGAAAAATTCGATATCTCGTCGAATATCATTTTCAACTGAATTTTGATATATCTGTTGTTCATTTCGAATTGTGCCCGATTGTCGTTGATCATAAATCCAGTTTTGAATATCCCGATCGAGTTGCTGTAAATGTTTCGATTCAATCGTTGGGTCGTAATCATCGCTCAAATTATTGTGATTGTAAAATATCTGTTGTATTACACATGGCAACACAAAATACATCATGTCATCGTCGATTTCAGTCTGAATGAGTTTTCGTTCCATGTCAATTTCAGTATCCATTGATCTTTGTCTCACTTGACTTTCAAATCGATCAATGAGTTGAAGAAAACTATTGTCGATTTTCGTTGAACTAATTCCGTGATCGATGACAAAATGTCGAAATAAGAGCTTTTGACTCAAAGAAGCTACACCAGATTCATTTGTCGCATATCGATTATAAGAACGTTTATCGACAAGAAGAAAACTGGTCAATTGTACATTGAAAATAATGTCGATTGCGTTGCCTGTGTCCAAACATTTGTTAACTGTCAATGATAGAGTATCGTCTTTGAATAAGAATAGAAGAATATTTTGTTGAAATAATTCCGGATAGATGACCTGCATTAGGACGAGACTCGAACGTCCATGTGGAGTATTGATATCGTCGAAATTGATCTTATGAAAGACATGTTGTCGAAGAATATCCGATTTCAATTGTTTGTGTTCGTCGTCGAGAATATTCGATGATGAATATGTTTGATTCAAATCGTATTCATTTAAATAAAGATTTGATATCGTATCGCATAGTTCATTAACAATATATTCTTGTCGTTTTCGACCATGATCACGAATAGCTTGAAGCCATCCATTTTCTTCGAATTTTTTCAAAATTTCTCTCAACGGTAAGAATAAAGTAGTAATGTTCTCATTCAATTGTTTGATATTTTTCAATGCATTAAAATGTCTTGTTTTGACATCATTCAATCGTGTTTCCTCGTCATGAGCTGCTGCCAATTCGGCCTCGATATCTGCCATTATACTCAATTGTGACTCGAGTCGACAATGCATTTTCGTTTGAATAATCTTAATTTTGTCATCGATACTGTCAATATTCTCGATTAACATTCCTTCTTGATTACGATACTGATTTTCGATTTGATCAAGTTGAACTTTGCACGAGGCGACTTCCTCATAGATCGCCTTGAGAATTGTGTGAACGAAATAGGATGAATTTAAACTGGCAAGTAGTTTTGTCGAATTCAACAACGTTTGTTGTTCGTCCATTTTCTCAATGAAATCCGGTTTGATCATGAGATTCATGGTGAGTTTACAGGCAACATTGAGTTCTAATTTGGATGCAGCTAGAAGAATATATTTATCTTCTTTCATTATCGACAGATATTGACACAATTTTAAAATGACATCTAATCGTTGATCGGCCGAGGAGACAATCGGAATTGATTGTACTTTTTGTAGATGTACATTGATTAATTTCAATGCCGAATTCAATTCATTATCATCATCGTCCATATTTGTTTGATTGTGTTGACGAATAAATTCTTGGGTTTGCAAGAGAATATGTAAATCGTTCTTTGCCATTGGTTGACACGGAAACGAGACCCATTTCATATAGGTTTCGGTGATTAGAAGTGTGTTCAAATGTTTTTGAATATTGATACTCCAATCGATAATGGTTGATGATCGTGATTGTTTACAAACAATTTGTAGTTTTTTCGATAAGGATGAGAGTTGATTGATTGTATTGTTCAAGCGTTGCAATTCGCCGAGACGATATTGTGCATCGATAAATGAGGTTTGTTCAACAAATTCAAGAATTTGTTTGTAACATTCTTTGACGGTAATATCGAGTAGACTTCGTGAATCGTCGGTATCATCGAGTGGAAGGATAATTCTTGTCGATTGTAAATATTGATGCGTTTTCGATAACCATTTTTTCAAATCAACACCAAATGTTCTCGATTGTTGTTCATCATTTGACAGAACTTTTGATCGAAGAGTTGAGGCTTGCGAATAGAGATCATCGTCAGGTACATTTTCTTGTTTGGATTTGAGCAATGGTTGGAGATAATCGAGTAGAAGGAGACCATAATCGATAAATTCTTGTTTGGCACACGTATCGTCGTTGATATGATGACTGGTAATTTTTAAATGAAGATCGAGCGTACATTCTTCAATCGATGCGATTAAATCCTGAAGATTTTGCGATGCTCTATACCATGCCATTTGTTGTTGTCTATCTTCGATTATACCTATTGATGTTAGCATTGGTAGAGTTGAATATGATGTTTTATTCAGTTCAGAATGCAATAGATGTTGAGTAAATGTACGATTAATGACATTTTTCCACTGTTGTTCAATATAGGATCGAGATAACTTCGAAATATGGCTGGCTTTAAGGCAAATACAGGATCATAACTGTTCGTAATGTATGTTCGTAATATACGTGCCGAACGTTTCAGATTTTGATAGGACAATTGATACGATGTGATAAATTGTAATTCTTTCTCGTTCGACAATTGTTTCGCTGATGCATGTACGCGTAATAAAGTATGAGTCAATTCTTGGCCGCCGTTGATACCTTGAAGTTCACCTTTGATAATCTCAGCTAGATCATGTTGTTCAACATTGTCGACGATCAATTCATTATCTAACGCTTGCATTCGAATAATCAAACATCGATTTCTCCAAGCGCTCGATAATTTATTGGCCATTTTTCGATTATTATTTGCGATGACAAACAATCGAAAGTCTTTGTGTATACCATTGCCACGTCGATATTGATGAGCAGTAGCTGATTCGTACAATGTTAACGTTGGTTCGGCTTCGGCCAAAGAATTGAGACGCTCAATGACATCTCCACGTGCACAATTGATATTATCCAACAGAATCCAATCGCCACGTTCCATCGCTTGTATCAATGGTCCTTTGTTGAACGTGAATGTGAGTCCTTCACCAAGATTTTGCACTAGTTTATAATCGTCTTCGATTTGTTCGAGTATATCCAAATACTTTTCAATTTCTTCTGAGATCGTTTCTCCGTAGACTTGATTCGAGCGTTCCAATTCTTTTTCCAATAGTTGTCGACATTGTTGATAAGCATCTTGAGCTAGATCGCTCTTTTCTATAGAGTCATCAAGAAATGTTTTTAGATTCAGCAATCAAATTGCCATTATCTGCAAGCAATCGAGCCTATTAGCAGAGATAGGCAAGATCGGCTCTTTCATCCTTTTTCAAAAACGATTTCCCTATCAATCTACCAAACAGGTTTCTCTTACTGAGTCAAGTTTCAGCTGAATCGATGAAAAGCTCAGAAAACTTTGGTTTCAATCCGAAGACCCAGACAAAGGTGATTTCTTCGTGTATGATGTCTAAAAAGATCGTAAGCTAATTTGATCTCATGGATGGACAGTTCACTGTTGAGGCTAATTGAGTTTTTGAGTGTTACGAAGATAAAAAAAAGATTCTGTTTCTTATTAAAATGACTTACCGTGTTCCCACTGATAAAGTAACAGTGTAATTGTTCGAATCAGTTGTTCTGCATCGTGAAATTGTTGTGATAGTGGTACGAGAACTGCTAGTGTAAAACGAACGATATCATTGAGTAAGTGTTTACTGTTCTGTTTCCGACGTTTTTCATACGAATTTTTATTGATAACAGTCCATGAACCGAGTAGATCCGATGTTGTTGTTTCATGATTCAAATTTAGAACCAGCAATCGTCTTCCACATATTCTGGCTAATTCACATACAATTGCTGTTTTACCTGAACAATCGCCTCCTTCAATCAAAACAGTTGCTTTACTAACTGTGGCTGCTGCTAGTAATTGTAATTTTTCCAGAGTTCGTTGACTGTGAACACATGGTCGATAAGTTGATTGATATTCTTTCTTCTCAATATAGACAAATCCGAGACGTGCGTAGCCCTGTAATTGTAAGTCACTATCAATGAGTTCTTGTCGATTATTCGCCGTCGTAGCAGTGTCCAAAGCAAAATGTTTTCGTATCATTTCACGAACTAAATTTTGATCGTGCACATATTCGAATCGAGAAGCGTACACAATATCGAGATAGACATGTAGACTACGAATGATGTTTTGCTCTTCGATTTTACTTATACTATCGCCTTCATTCGTGTTCATGGTTGTTGTTGATGGTATTGTTGTTTCTGAAAGATTGATATGAGCTCGATGTGTAACCGAGTGTGCTGCAACTAAATTTGACAATTTTTCAATGTCTCGCAGATTGAAATCGTACGGTCCACCAAGACGACCGATTTGTCTTAGTCGTGCTTTTTCACTTATTTCATAATGAAATTCATTGATTTGTTCCACTAACTTCGGAGTTAAATAGCCTGTATCCAAGTGAGGACGCAGTAATGATACAGTGATGTGCATTAATTCATGCACTTCGAATGCTGCTAGTTGAACTTGAATGAAATGGGTTTGAGTTGATCGAGGTAATTTTTCACGGCCACCGCCGATCGAAGCCGGATTCATGGCCGCGACAATAATTGAACCATCGATTCGAATCGATTTTGCTAGTGCAGGTATGAATAATTGATTTTCGTTGGCGAACAATGGTGTCAGTTGATTCAATAATTCTTTACGTGCCAAATTCAATTCATCGAATAGAATGACTGTATTTCGACGGTTGTCTTTCAACGAAAGGTACAACGGTCCTTCTTGAAATTCGAACGATCGTTGTCCATTAACAACACGCGGTACGAACGAGCCAATTAGATCTTCGAATGTTGTATTACTACTGAAATTGATTCGAACAACGTCATATCCTAACATTTTTGCTAGGACTTCAATAATTTTTGTTTTGCCAACACCTGGTGGGCCGGCGAGTAGTTGTCGATTGGATGAATGTAAGGAGAATATGATTCGTGATATATTGTTCAAAACCGATTTTGTTAAAGCGAGTGGAAACGTGATTTGATCGGGCAACGATTGCATTTGTGGTGCAAATGGAGCTATCAAACCATTTGATCGAAGACGTAATCCCCAATGTTTTCGTTGCTGACTTGTTTCCTTATCTGTTACCATCATTTCTTCTACTGCACACCATTCGTCAATTCGTGTGTAGACACCCGATTTTTCGAGTTTTTCATCGACCGTGATACATTCGTTGGTACATTTGAATGCTTGTAGTACTGTTTGCCATACCTTATTGGTTGTTTGTAAATTTGAAATCGGCGATTTTTTCGGTTCACTAATGCCGTCGAGAAATAAAAATTTGACGCAAAGGGCAGCTGCTTGCTCGATCGGCATATGTTGAAGATGTAAATGTAGACATTCCCCAAAACGAACAAAATGACGTGAATCTAACGAGTCGATCTTCATTGCTTGAGCTAATGTCGGAGCAAGTTCGGTAGCTAGAATGCCAATCGTTTGTTCAATTTTCGATTCGATATTTTTATCTTTGATCGAATTCGATCTTGATTTTATTGCTAATTGTTTAAGTTCATTATTATCATAAGGTTGAACGCGTACTTCTGTCATTCTGGATCGAGTTGCCGCACTCAATTGTAAACGATTTTCAGTTGTCTCATCTGTATGTACAGTAGCAAAAACTTGAAACGTTGGTAGTATAGGAATTTTTGCACGCTGCGGATTGATGTCCGCCGTTGTTGTTGATTCTTGTGCAGTAAAATCTTCATAGAGAATAAATGTTGGTTCAGTTTCAAATAAACTATTGAGACGTTCAATCACGGCCTGAGATGGTTCATTGATATCTTCTAAGATCAAAATTTTACCTTCTTTAACAGCAGTAGTGACAGGACCATCTTGAAAGAGGAAAATACTTGATTTTCCTTGTTCGATCGCTCGTCGAATTTCTGCGATTATACTTTCGCAACGAATTTTGATTAGTAGAACACCATTTTCATTCGATGCGAGGCCACATACATAATTAAGACTCTCGGAAATAGTCTTGAGTGTGCTGTTGACTGACTGGAATGCTTGAAGTAAGAGATGCGTATTGGTCATGTTAGAAGATGGCGAAGTCAATGACGATGTCGTTTGATGAAAATCCGATTGTGTAGCATCATAAAATGCCAAAAGTTTTTCTTCTTCGGAAAGTTCTTGTGGCTGCTCAATCGCAAACGGATCAACATCGTCTTGTTCTTCGTTTTTCGTTGATACGATTGCAGTAGTGTCGTAGCTTGTTGAGATATTATTCTCATCTGTTACACTAAACGGATCTATTTCCTCTTGTGGATCGTCTACAATTGTAAACGGGTCAACTTCTGCTTCATTAGAATCACTCATCATCATATCCATGATCTGTTCGGCGTTGCAAATATTTTCAAATTCGTCGTCGTCGCTCGTACTTTTTGTCATGACGTAGGACGAAGATGTTGTTGTAGGAAATGAATCTACCGATGGGAGAGGTGTAGATCGTTCTGTTTCATCTTCTTTATTGTGACTCAATTGGGTGCTGAGAGGAAAACTTTCGCTTAACTTGGCTGAATCGGATTGATCAACTTGTTTTGTTCGATGTTTTCTCGTCTTCTTCTGTTGTTGCTCTTTTATTTTACGAACAAACGTGTCGATATCTTCACCGAACGTATTGATATTTTGACAAAACTCATCAAAATTATTGTAATCACTCGGTTTGACAGTTTTGGAGAAATTCTTTTTCACTCGTTCACAGAGCTGATTCAAACAACTCAATAAAAGATTCAATGCATCAGCATGTGTGTATGGTCTAAATAGAACAAGAAATGAACATAAAAACAGCACATTTGTTCATGGGATTTACCTGATCGATCCAATGAGATCATTTGTTTCTGTTGATGTTGAACATGTAATCGTACAAAGATCAGATTCTTTCGCCATCACTTTGGCCCATATCTTGATCAAATATGATTTGAAACAAGTCGGACCGAGTAATAAAACTGGTTCATGTTGATCGGCAGCTGCAAATACACGCCAGAGTGAAAGTAGCAAATTTTGTGGTGCCGTCGATAGTTGTAGATCTTTCGCTGCGTTGGAATCAGCAAACGAATACGATATGGGCAAACGAGGTGGACAAAGAAGTGAAATTTGGACATTTTCAACTTTAACTTTGAATGGAGGATCGATGAGTCTCGGAAATGCTTGTTCCTGTCGGAGGCATTGTATGAATTCATCGTAGAATTTTTTCGGTACACGGGATTCTAACAATCGAAGTACATGATCCTCCCATTCGACATCGACTTTTCGCTGTTTTCGATTGATCCATTTGATAACTTCACGCATGGTCAAGCCGAGTTTCGGTGCGCCGAATAGTGGCCGTTGTTTTTCATCGATATATCGATTTAGAATCGTGACTGTCGATGCTATTCGTGATGCTACATGTTTCAAATCATCGTTAAACGATTGCGATGATACCGAAACAGTTGATGTCGACTTTCGTTGAACAATAATAAATTCAAGTTCTTTTTCGGAGAACGAATGAAATTTAATTTCTAAAAATCTTGAACGTAATGTTTTGGGCAATTGTTTTCGTCCAACATAGCCCGTGCCGTTCTGTGTCGCGAAAAAGCGGAATCCATCGCGTGCAGCCAAGGTTTGACCGGTATTCGGAACGGTTAGATGCTGTTGACCTTCCAAAAGTGGATAGAGAACATTCATAACGGCCGGTTCGGCCAAATCGAATTCATCAGCAACAAACCAATGTCCGTCTCTCATTGCACGTGACAATGCTCCATAGAGAAATTCGCCATTCGGCATATAGGAACCAAAGTAATCTTGAACAGTTGTACCTTTGGTATTATTGACTCGGTATAGAGTTTTACCATTGCATTGTGCAATATATTCGATCAAGCTAGTCTTACCCGTTGCTGCGGGATCCTCGAGAAGAACGGGCCTTGAACAGATAATCGATGCACAGAGACGTTTAGCTGCATCGTATCTTGTCGGGGTCGAGATGGGATCGATGATGTGTTCACGATGTTTTTCTCGTTCTTCGATGGGTGCCGACAGATCAAAGAAATTGACTGATCCATGTCGTGTTTGTGTTTCCAAATGTCGTTTTATATTTTGAATTTTTGTTGTTGTCGTTGAATCAATATTGAATACAAGTTCACAAGCCGAGAGTAAAGCGGATGGTAAATCTAAGTTTAATTTTGTTGTCAATGTTGAATGTTGTAATTTGAATGCACAGTCAATGAATTGAACCAATTGTCTCGTTGTTAATTGTTCAGATTGTATTTGTTCGCAAAAATAATTGATTAGTTGATTTTCGTTTGTTGTAAAATACGATTTGAAAACATTTTTGTAGACATCCAACGAGGACAAATTTAAACCTTGATAATGAATAATCAAAAACCGATTGTACAATGCCGGTGTGAGCTCATGATTTGTTTCGATTGAGGCATTTTGTAATCGTCCAGTTGGTGGAGACATTGTAGCAATGATACGAAAATTAGGGGAAACACGAACCGGTTCTGTCTCATTATTTTCCACTTTGACCCATTGAGCTGGTTGTTCGAGAACAGGATTTAATCGTTCGAGAACGGCAGACGATGCTTCGGAAAAGTTTTCGAGTATGAGCCAATGACCTTTTGTAATAGCTTCGCTTACGGCTCCATCGTGCCATTGAGGAAGTTTCGGATGTGGAACGAGAGAACCGACAAGAGCTGCTGGTTCCGTTTGTGGTGTCAAATACAAGTGTTGACAACGAACATTGGTCAATGTAGCAATGGCTTGTACGAGATGACTTTTGCCACAACCTTCGGCACCGACAATCAGAATCGGCTGTGTGGGTGATGATGACAAGATGAATTGTGCGATACGGTTGGCTTCATCGTCGAGATAGAACGATGGACGAGCTGATGAGAGTGATGAAACCGATTTTGAAAGAGTCGATTCAGGCTCTCGACATTCTGTTGCAATATGTTTGGTGATCGCCTGTCGTTGATTTTCATCTCGACATAGGCTCGAGTAGATTTCGACAAGTAGTTCAGGTAATGAAATCGTGTCATGTCCATATCGTCTCTCTAATATTGACCAGAATAGCGCATACGAACAATCGTAAATATGCGTTATCTGTCCGCTATGGAGGTATTTGAAAATCAAATTGTGTATCTTGATCATTTTTTCAACTTCTTGAGTATTGTGCGGTTTCGATAGATGCGATGGCCAATCGTTACGTACGCGATCGAGACCAATTGTTGGCATGTGCAACAAGAGACGTTTTTGTGCAAGAAACACGATGGCATTATTTGCTCGGAATTCGATGCATAATTTTGATGTTGATAAAGGACTGAGCTGAAATAATTTTTCGATTGCCGAAGCAATTTCATTTTGACTTTGTCGTTCACGAAATCTTAAACCATAGATGGCATGAGCTTGTTCACTAATGATTTGATTAAATGTGTTCGAATCAAGATTTTTGACCGATTGTGAAACTTTGATGAGCATCGTTTCATAATCGCACAAACTTTGACACCATCGAAAAAGTTCTCGAATTGTTATTTCGGAATAATTTTTACTTCGCTCTTTGAATTCATTTTCTTTAATGAGTTTCATAATGTTTAAATGTAGATTTACCATTTGTTTGGCTTGCGTATCAAAGGGGAAATTTTCATTTTTCAATTTGTTTGCCACAATATCGGCTAGTTCATCAGTTTGCGGCCCTTCGACAATGAAAATACTGAAACGACTGAGTAGAGCTGTTGATTGTGCATCACGTGCTCCTTTGTATTGACCTGTCGATGGATTTTGTGTGGCAAAGAGACGAAATTCTGGATGCATGTGATAGCAACGATAGTTTTGTTTCGTTTGACTGTGTTGTTCATCGGTATTATTATCATTATCATCTTCGATATTTGGTAGTATCAAAACGCCAGATTCTAACGCTTGTTCGATAGCTTGAAGAACATTCGGCGGTGCCAAATTCATTTCGTCTAACAATAACCAATGACCATGCCGATAGGCAGTTGTGAACGGTCCTTCTTCGTAATCTAATTCGATTTCTTGCTGATGCTCATTGGCAGTCTTAACCGTTTTCAATTTTACCGATCCGAATAGACCGCCGATGTCAGTTTTCGACGATAGATTAAAACGAATCAATGGCTTTTGAAGATCGGCAGCAACATCAAGAATAAGACTACTCTTACCGACACCGGTTTCACCTTGTAGCAATAAATGAATGGGTGTTCGTACACATTCAATAATTCGTTTACGATTATTGAGCATTGTTTTTGTTTGTACTAACGATGGTAATGTTCGACGATTGGGTATCAGATGATGAAATTCTTCTGGACAGTCGGTGATCAAATGTTTGATGGCATCTAAACTAGTCGTTTCATGTGTAGAACTATCGTCGATAAGACTCGATGTTTCAAGGTGTTTGGCTAATGTTTGAAAGTCCGCTCGTTTTATCAGGCGAAAAGGTATTTGAGATTTTGAACGTTTTTGTTCTCGTTCTAAGAGGTACATGAGCGTTGATTGTACTTGTGCTAACATCGGCTGTTGATCATTGTTGAAATTCAATGATGTTATTGTTGTTGTATCAATATTTTGCTCGTATTGATCTTGTAAAGATGTCAGGAGTTTTGTCAGATCATTCGATTGAATATTCAATGAACGACCGAGTAGACGAGCAGTTGACAGTCGTATGTTGGAATTCTTGTGTAGCAGACATTGGAGAACAATCGATAAGGATTGTTGAATGAATAATGAAAGAAAACTGAACGTTGATAATGAAACGAAATTGAGAGCTTGATCCAGCTTTTCTTGTAACAATTTGATCAGTTCATGTGTATAAATGTCAAAATATTCGATTGTATTCGAGGGTTGAAGATAAAATGATGTTTGTTTTTCACTCGATGGTAGATAGTTTAGTTTTTCCTGT